AGGGGGCTGCTCAGGAAGGGTGGATCCTCTGGCCCCCCACACGGCCCCCCCCCCCCCCCCCCCCAAAATCATGAGATGGGAAATAAAGCAAGCAAGGAAGCCTGGGGGCTCCATTAATGCCCCACCACTTCAGGCACTGGGGCTTTTGGGGAGACCCCCTCCCTGCCAGCCAGACTGCCTTTCACCCACCAGTGTTGCACAGGGGCTCCCCTCCACCCTGCACCCACCCTGGTATAGACCAGGCCGTGCCAGGCCTGGCCTGGGGGGACATCTCTCTCGCAGCACCTGCTGCCACCCAATGGACACAGCATGTCGCCGCAGGCAGCTCGGCTCCCATTACCCCCACCCCGACCCCGCTCAGGGACCCTGTGGTCTGAGGAGGCTCCTCTGTAAGTTCAGGGGGAGTGGAGGGAGGGGCACCCAGACTCCTAGCCCCACTGCCCCAAACCCCTCCCCACAGGCACAGAGCCCAGGTGTCCAGCCCCCCACCCCTCCTAGCCATCACAGCCAGCCTGGCTAATCCCTGCCCCAGCTTCTGGTGAGGAGTGTACTCCCCCCAGCAGATAACAGCCAACTACTCCTGCCCAGAGGCCAGATCCTGCCCCAGGCGCCTGCAAGGTATCCATTGAAGCCAGGATGTCTCCCAGCCTTGGGGCTGGGGGGGGTGGGAATGCAGAACACGTGGGTTCAGACATGTCAGTGCAGGGAGGGGGCACAAGATGGGGCTGCACAGGCCTCTGCCTGGGGTGGGACACAGGGACCTGGACCCCAGCACCACCCAGGCAGTCTCCCCCCACACGCACACTCCCAGCACCGCAGCACCCCAGGGACCTGTGCCATGCAGAAGCCCCCCCATGGGGGGGAGGGAGCATCCTGAGCTCAGGGTAACCTAGCAACCGCATCCCGCCACCTCCACACACGCGGAGCCAGCTCTGGGAACAGAGGAGGGGGGGGCTCCCATCCCCAGGGGGGGCCCCCCCCCCCACCCCCCCCCCCCAGTGAGAGGCATCTGCTGCAGCCCCACCAGGGGGCACCATGTGGGGGGAGGGGGCAGCAGAGGTGCTGGGGGGGGGAGCTGTGAGCAACAGCGCAGAGATTAGGGAGACCCCCCCACACCATCCTCCTCCTCCCCCAGTCTGGTGGCTCTGCACATGCCCAGCAGGGGTCACCACACAGCGGGGGGGGGGGGGGGGAGGCAGACCCAGAGCAGCAGTACTGGGAGCACTGGGGGTGGCCCAGGGATGGACTCTGTCCCCACACATGTCTGCAAACAGGCCCCGTCCCGGTTTCCATCCTGGGCTGGCACCAGGAAAGTGGGTCACATGGGTCTCCCGGGGACTGGTACCCACCCCACCCAGGGCAAGGCCCCCTCGCAGGGCCAAGCCCTGCCACCCCCAGTACCAGAGGAGGGGGCATACCCCACAGAGCCCCTTGGCACTGCCAGGATGCTAGGCTTCCAGCAGCCCCCTGCCCCACATCCCTAAGGCCACAGGGGACCATGTCCCCACAGCCCAAACATAGCCCTGCTGCTCCAAGATGCTGGCCCCCAAGCCTCTGGCAATGCCCCCACAACACGGCCCAGCCTGGTGGGCCAGAGATCTCCCCAGCACAGCCCCCCCGCACTGTCTGCCTGCCTCCTACCCTATAGGCCCCGCACACGGGAGACCCCATGGGACTTGAGGGGCAACTAGCGCCACCCTCAGCTCATGCCCCGCTCCCCCCGCCAGCATCCAGGATTCAGCTTCCCGCTACCACAGAGACCTCGGTTCCCCCTGCCCACACGCCCCTACCC